CAGGTTGAAAAGGTATGGAGACAGGACAGATCCCTGGCGTATGCCCTTCCCAATTTTGAACCATGCAGTGTTTCCTCACTCTGTTCTGACTACTGCCTCTTCTTCCAAGTATAGGTTTCTCATTAGCACGATCAAGTGTTCTGGGATTCCTATTCTTCTGAGAGTCAGCCACAGTTTGTTATGATCTCCTAAAAAGAAAAAAAAACCAAAACCCCAAACCCAACTCCACCTTGTGGAGAGCCAATGTGTGTCATAGTGCAGCTGTACACTCCAACCTCCAACTTTATGTTTAGCAACATAGTGTATTAACTGCTTGCTCCGCCAGGAAATCCATTAAACATCAAGAAAACAAAAATCCTTGCCACTGGGCCAATTGGCAACATCGTGATAGATGAGAAAAGATTGTCAACAATTTCTTTTCACTTGGGTCCACAATCAACACTCATGGTAGCAGCAGCCAAGAAATCAAAAGATATGTTAGATTGGGGAAAACTGTGTCAAGCACCTTTCCAAAGTGCTAAAGAGCAAGGATGTTTGTTTAAAGACTAAAATGCACCTGATCCAAGCCATGGTCTTTTCAATTGCTTCATATGCATATGAAAGTTGGGCAATGAATAAAGAAGATCAAAGAAGAATCAATGCCTTTGAACTGTGGTGTTGGTGGAGAGTATTGAATAATCCTATGGATTGTCAAAAGAACAAACAAATCTGTTTTAAAAGAAATGAAACTAGAGTGCTCCTTACAGGCAAGGAGGATGAAACTTCATTGCTCTTACTTTGAACATGTTCTGGAGGAAACAATCCTTGGAGAGAGACATCATGCTGGGAAAGGTAGGGGGTAAGAGAAAGAGAAGAAGACTCTCAACAAGATCGATTAATACATTAACTACTATAATGGGTTTGAGCATTGCAGAGATAGTGAGGATGTGCAAGCCAGCGCAAGGTTTAGAACTGTTGTTCATAGGGCCACTGTGAGTTGTAGTTAATTTCACAGAACCCAACAACTAACAAGAATCTCAGAGTTTAAAAAAATCCCACAATCAAAAACAACATGTATATGCACATGAGCAATATGGAAAGAAAGAGAAAGAGAGGGAGACCATTAATGAGATGAGTTGATACAGTGACTGAGTAATGAGGGCAGATGTGTCAAAGACAATAAAGTTGGCACAGGAGAGAGCAGGTTTCAGGGATGTTGTACATAGTAGGGTCTCTATGAATTGCAAACGTCTTGACGACACATAACAACAACAAAAAGCGTATGAATAGGAAATTAGCAAAAGAGGGAGAAACAATAGACAAACACATAAATTAAAATTAGAACATACCCGTTTTCACCAGCAAAAATTGATGCATCTTAATGCAGGGGTGTGGG